CTTTCTTTCTTTCTTTCTTTCTTTCTTTCTTTCTTTCTTTCTTTCTTCATTCATTCATTTATTTATATTTGGCTAGGCAGTGGGGTTAAGTGACTTGTCACACAGCTAGTAAGTGTTAAGTATCTGAGGCCAGATTTGAACTCAGGTTCTGAATTCAGGGCTGGTGCTGTATCCACTGTGCCACCTAGCTGCCCCTCCTAGTTCTTTTAGAAAAGGCAGAAACCCTTGTTTGGGACCCTCAGAAAGCTTTCGCTTGGGTTTTTCTGTTTTATCCCCACACAAGGTGTGGTATGGTTAGAGGCTTCTCATCTCTCCAATAAGACATTCTCAGCCCCAAGTGACTAGTTCGGGTATCAGCAAACTCAGATCTGGTCACTCTTTTTGTATCCTCCCTAAGAATGGTTTCTACATTTGTAAATAAAGTGTTGTTGTACTTTAAATTATGAAAGTTAAAAAGGAGGGGGTGGCCAGACTGGCTGTACTTTGCTCAACCCTATTCTAGAACAAACAGTAGGATCCTCCCAGTTAGCAAAAAGCCTCAGTCTTTTTCTTTTTCTTTGGACTCCTCTTCCTGGTTCAGTTACTTAGCTATTGTTTAGAGAGTAAATACTAGCTTGTGGCAAGTACCACGTTTATCTCCCAGTTTTAATCATTAAAAGCTATAGTCTAGCTGCTAGACAATAAACCAGGTCATGGTTTTTGGTAGCTATGTAACAACTCTCTGGAACTGGTAGTTAAGGTTTCCCTAGTTTTTGAATCCTAAGGCTCTTCTTTTTTCCTCTTATAAGATGAGTGGGTGGGGAAAAGGGAGAGACATAATTCCAAACCCAGGCAGCAGGCCTCCACTACTCATTCAGTCACATTCCAGAACTTTTCATCACCAGACCTGGCCAAGACTCTGACATCTACACACTTCAATAAATCTCAGGAAGGCGTTAGCAACACCCCTTTCTAGACTTATTCCACATTACTTTCCTTTAGACTTTCAATAGATAAGCGAAACTGATCTTTGTGCTCTTCCTCATAGATAGCACTCCTTCCATCTCCTTTGGACTGGTTGTTCCCCATACTTATAAGGAAGTACTTACTTCACCCTCTAAGAATTCCTAATTTCCATCACGACTAAGCTCAAACATTGCCTTCTACATGAAATCTTTCCCAAGGGTCTTTGCTCTTTGCTGTTTGTACCTTTCCAAATTAACCAGTATCTAATTTGACACCTAGTATCTATTTTTATATACTTATATTTGTACGTATCTCTGGCTAGAAATTAAGTTTTGCTTTGGTTTTTGTATATCCTATTTATTAATGCTTAGCAGTGTTAAAGAAAGCTTGCTAATTGATTGATTGCAGTAGAAAAGCAGAGTTACCATTGTGGAAAAGGTTATCCTTTTCCCCCTTTATAATAATCAAATTAAAATAAGATAGTTGTGCTTATACTATTTTCCCTATTTACTAGATTGTAAGCTCCTCCAAGGCATGGACTGTATTTTCTTTCCTCTTTTTATCCCATTGCATTGTACGGGGTGTTTCAAAAGTCTCAAAACAGTTTTAAGCTCTTATAGCTATTAAAAGCTCAAAAATCCTTCAAGATTTTTGAGACACCATGTATACTGGTATATATATTTATAAATATATTCACACACACATACATGCATTTGTTGTTATTCAGTCATGTCTGACTCTTTGGGAACCAATTTTTGGGGTTTTCTTGGCAAAGATACTACAGTAGTTTGCCATTTCCTTCTCTAGCTCCTTTTATAGATCAGTAAACTGAGATAAAGAGAGTTGAGTGACTTACCTAGGGTCACACAGCTAATAAATGTCTGAGGCCAGATTTGAATTCAGGAACATGAATCTTCCTGACTCTAGGCCCAGAACTACATCCATTGTGCTAGCTAGCTACTCCTTATATTGGTGTATATAGAGATAGCTATATGTGTGTATACACACATACACACACACACATACATACACATATATACATATAGATATATATAGATGAAAATATAGATATGTAAATATAGATAAATATATAGACATATAGATATAGATAAAAATAAAGATGGCTAGATATTCTATCCTATTCTGTACCATGTATACCAGTATATTGGTATACACCATGTACAAAGTAAGTGTTTAATAATGATTTTTTGAGTAGAATTAAACTGAATTAGACTCCCTTTTCTATGACTCCAGTCTTACTAAGAAAACAATTAGGTTTGCCTAAAGACTTGGTTTTCCTTTTAGAGTATGACTTGCTGAACAGCTGATTTGCACATTCTAATCCTTGGCCAGCATGGGTCTTACTATATACATTATTGACTTAACTTCCTGAATCACAATCAATCTCATGTGAGTTCTATTAGCAAATAATCCTGATGGCCCCTATGTGGACTGATAAAATCAAGCTCCTGATTTCTTTTTTAATGTGAATTTTACTTTATATGAGGGCCAAACTCTTGTTCTTTGGTAACTCCACCAAAATATAGCCACCCTATAAAGCCCTGTCTGAGAAGTTTTTCAAGCAGAGTCTGCTTCCCTTTCTAATCAATTAGTTATTAATCAAGGAGCATTTATTCCTATGTTTCAGACACTATACTAGGATCTGGTCACACAAATACAAACTATGTTGAAATGATGCAATGTCATCCTGATACATCCTGACCCTTAGCTCCAATCAGAGTATCTAGATACCACAGCCCCAGAGCACATTCCTCTCAGGAGGCCAGACAGATAGGAGTTCAAATGGACAAGGCAGAGAGCACTTGAGAATGATTGTGGAATAGAGCTCCATGGCCAGAATAAGTCTTTTGTGTTAGGGTTTTAGGGAAATAACCGAGAATGATGTTGTGGGAAGAACAGTGAATCATGACTGAAAAGTCCCCATATTCTTGCCTTGGCTCTTTGACGAATTCATCTTGTGACTTTGGGTGAGTGAGCCAGTTCACTTTTCTGGGACTCAGATTCCCTTAGTGATTAGGAGAGGGTTTTAGAGAAGATAATCATTAATGTTCTTTCTTGCTTATAAATTCTGTGGATTTTTAAATGACCTCTGGGCTACCAGTCATTTGGTAGCAAAGAAAAATAATGCAGGGAAGACAATAGCACAGCTTCCTGGCCCGAGATATACCTCCAGCCTGAATTATTTGTGGAGTACTGAATCACATTCACCCATTAGTTATCAAGGAGCTGGTCCTTTCTTCAAACAGAGCAGACAAGCGAATGGCAGATGATTGATCTCTCCCTCTTACAGAGGACTTTTGGGAGTCCTATAACATCTCTGACCTTGTTCGATCTGCCCACAGCAATCCTGTGAGGGAGGTACTTAGCTTTACAGGGTGAAGATCAAAATTCAGAACTTGTGACCCAGACCAGATCTAAGTGAGGAAGGCAGTGGCAGAGTCAGCTCTTTAATCTAACTCTCCTACCCAAATTCTGTGCTTTTTCCATTTTGCCACAAGCATATACACAATGAGCAGGTACACACAGATACATATACAAGCACACACAGGAACACACTGGAGCACACACAAACATACAGGAGCCCACACACAGGAGCACATACATGAATACACAAACATGAACACATATGAGTACCCGCACAAACACTAGAAGCACCCACGAGAATACACAGGAGCACACAGGAGCACATACATGAATGCACAAACATAAACACGTATGAGCACATACACATAAACATCAGAAGCACCCACGAGTACACACAGGAGTCTACCTGCTAGCACACATTAGCACACACAAGCTACACAACTGTACACACATGAGCACGCCTACTTCTGAACACACAGACTCACCACGGTGCTGGTGAGCGATGTGAAGAACGGCCTTGTTTTCTGTCACTGACGTCTGTGAGTTGTTAGAAATTTCCCTATTGCTTGGATGTGGTTCCACTGAACACCAGGTCCCCAGATGTATTCAGCATAATCTTTGCTCTTTTCTATAAACTTTTCAACAGAAAATGGTCTGAAAACACAGTTTGTTTCATGGGAGCCACCCTGACACGGTATAATGTTTGCTGCTGGCTCTGAGACAGTCAGCTACAGGAAACAGGAAGTCTGGACCTCCCTGTTTACATCTCGAGCCAAGGCAGCTGTAAAAGTGATAGCTCACTTACCTTGAACATTAACTCTCCATGACATCTTTCAGCTTGGATTCAGGTCTGGCTCTGGAACTTACTGGGTACATATCCTCGGTCAATTCACTCTATGGCTCTAAGCCTCAGTGTGATCATGTATAAAATGAGGATAATACTTGTCCTGTTTATCTAACAGGGACATTGTAAGGATCAAATCAGATCATGTGTGTGAAAGCACTTCCAAAAATTTGTATTAAACAGTGGGTGGTCATTGCATTGAGTAGAGTTCTTGAATGAAGAGGGAAGAAAGGAGGGAACAAGCATTTACTAAGTACTTACTAGGTGCCAGGCACTGTGATTAGTACTTTATAAACAGTATTTCATTTGAGTCTGTGACAACCCTGTGAGGTTCCTAGGTGCTATTATTGTCATCCTCATTTTACAGCTGAGGAAACTGAAGTTAAGTGACTTGGCCGGGGTCATACAGCTAGTAAGCATCTGAAGGTATATTTGAATTCAGGTCTTTCTGAGTATGGATGTGAAGTGGAACCTAAGAGTTATTTGAGTTTGCATTTCTATAGTTATTAGTGAATGTAAAACATTTTTCCATAAAGCTATGGATAGCTTGGATATCTTCTAAAACATTTGTAAATGCAAAATAATTATGATTGCAGTCTGCCAAAAGTCCTCCTCTGACATTTCATCATGGTATGGAAGCAGCTCTGGGTTTCCAAAGAATCTCCCAGTAATACAGAACCTTGAGCAGGTAGCTGTGAGGCAGAGATGAAGTCTTCCATGTTGCTCAGGACTTCTCATTTTCAGCCTTTCTTATAACATAATAGCATTTCATTATACTCTATATAAGCTACAATTTGTTCAGCTATTCCCTAATGAACAGGCACCCATTTTGTTCCTAGCTTTTTGTTACTACAAAAAGCCTGCTGTGAATATTTGGACAGATTCAGGACATTTCTTTATGTCTTTGACCTCCCTGGGATTTATACCAATGAGTAGGGTGGTTGGATTAAGAATATGAATAACTTAGGGGCAGCTAGGTGGTGCAGTGGATAGAGAACTGGCCCTGGAATCAGGAGGATCTGAGTTCAAATTCGACCTCAGACACATAACACTTACTAGCTGTGTGACCCTAGGCAAGTCACTTAACCCCAATTGCATCACCAAAAAAAACCAAAACAAAACAAGAATGTGAATAATTTAGTGACTTTCCTCCCATCATTCTAAATGAAGACTACATTATTTCAAACAGAAACAAACAGCATGCCACTGTTGCAGTCTGAGACTTTTAGAGACCCCTCAAAGACCAGAGTACAGGACAGGGTTGTCTGGAATGAATTCACAGACTCAAGCATTCTTTAAGTGAAGGTGGCAAAGATTTATTGTTACGCTTTTCAGCGTGCAAGGATTTCTAAGAAATCTGCCATGGTGTCTAGAGCTCTTTAGGGAACTTGAGACCTAACAGGAATGATGCTAAAGCCTATATAGGAAAAGTAGTGGATTATGTGCCAAGTATGCTAATTAGGTGGTAACATACAACCTTGGTCACAGGCATCATTCACTACTGGCAACAGGGTGGGGGAGGGGGAGGGGGTGGAGGAGAAGGTTCCTAAAGGGTATATTTTTGGACTGTTATGTCTGTAACAAGATAGTTTCAGGAATTGAAGTCTATAGCTTGACCTCTGGATTGTATATGGTAACTGTGGGAATCAGTACACGATAGTTCTGCTGGTACAAGAGAGTCCTGTTCATACAAGGGCAATTCTACAGAGGTCAGCTTGTTCTTGTAACAGGGAGAGATAATGAGATAGTTTGCCTCACTGGACCCATTCATGAGTTATTGCTAGAGATAAGGTCTTTGGGCTGGAGAGAAGCTGCCAGGGATAGTGTTTCTGAGGCCAGGAAGAAATTGAGATCAAGCACAGGCACCCAAGCACCCCATTACCACCAGTCCTGGAGTTGCTCCTGTAAAATACCATTCTAAATGTATTCTGTTTCTGGAACTGAAATTGGAAGGGGTAGGGAGGAAATGATATAGCTTGACCTGCTGGAGGCTGCTCAGAGCTTCTTGCCTTTTCCTCCTCCAGCAGCCAGTCATTTGTCCCCAGATTTATTTCTCAGGGCCCCATATGCCAAGGATCAGAGTGGGTGGTTTTTGTTTTTTTTTTTAATTTATGTCAGCTTATCTCTGCCTTCAGCCCTGACAACTTAGCACACACTTGAGTAACTTTCTCTTTGATGTCCAGAGTTCACAATGTTACTCTACACTGGGGATATTATGAGGACTTTCATACAAAGCTGTTTTTAATATCCTGTCCTTCAGGGAGGGAAAAGAAGGCTGCTCTCAAGAGTAGCTGGCCAAAAGAAAGTCAATAGTTTTATTTCCCTGCCTCCTCTGATCTTCTAAGGACTTAGCCGGAAACTGCATTATTGGGAGAGGAGCCCAGGGAACTGAAGGAAAAGGAGTTTGGGGCCAAGCTGAGAGTGTCCGGAGCCAGATAACAAGGACAGAGGTATCTCATGTGTGTCTGTGTGTATAAGCTTGTGTGTGTTTGAAATGTAAACATTTTTGAAAGTTATAATTTGCTCAGAGGGAACTCCAGATTGGCAGGGCAGCTCCACCCAGACAGGGCAGAAGGTTCCTTTCTGGGATAATTTCGGGGGCCCTGAGAGGGTTTACAAAAATCTTTCCTCCGCTTACTCACCTGGAACCCCTCTAAGGAGGCAGAGCCTTTCATTCCACAAAGAAAATAGCTACTTAAAAATCCTGTCTTCCTGGGAGAGGAGGACTAAAGACCTTCACGCTAAGATGTAAATAACTGAGGCTGAGACCCTGAGAGCCGGGTTCTTAATCTGAGGTCCATGGATCCCCAGGGGTTACATGTGCAGGTTTCAGGGGGCCCATGAACTTGGATAGAAAAAAATGATATTTTAGTTTTCAATCACCTCCAACTGATATATAACATTTCCTTTGATTATAAATGTGGGGCACAAAATATGATTATGAGAAGGGGTTCACAGGCTTTACCAGACTGTTAAAGGGTCTATGACACAAAAAAGCTTAAGAAACCCTGGTCTAGAGGGAGTAGGGGGACTCTGGTCCTGGCAGGGCATGGAGAAAAGAGCGTTATGGGGAATAGGAAGGGGAAAGAAACAACATATAAACAAAAAATTCTTCGATCTAATCATTTTGCAGTCAGTTTTCTTTTGTTTGTCAGTTTTTGATCAGCAGCTTGAGGGAGAAATAGTGGAGGTTTGGCACTAAAAGATTAATGCTTTAAGAGGAGCTGATTTCCTGTTTGCGTCAACTAACAAGTTTCATTTTGTACTGTGTGTAAATCACAGTCTATGCACCGACCATTTCATAAGTAGCTCTTTCTTCACACGTAGATACTGGTGCTGCCCAGAAGTGGACCGTGGGGCCTCTGAAAGCCTATGTGAAGTGTGAGGGGCACGCAAAGTGAACAGGTAGGAAAGGTTTTGTCTCCTCTTTGAATGGTAGGGGACTCTTAAAAAAAGAGGACTTTAGCACTTCACCAATGAAGTAATAGTACCTCATAACGACTGACAAAAAGACATAAGTGCAGTTAGCATAAATTGCCTCGTGTCCCCCACCCAATCTCTGGGGGATGGGGGGGCGGGTGTTAATTAAGAACTTTCCAGGCTCTATTCTAAATAAGAGCGATACAAATACAAAAAGAAAGAATCTGCTCTCAAGGAGTTTTCATTTAAAAAGGAAGAGAAAAGCATTTATTAAGGGCTAACTACATACTTGACACTGCACTAAGTACTTTACATTTGATCTATGCAACAACATTGGAATGTAGCTGCTATCATTATCCCTATGAGGGTAATTGAGGAAATTGAGACAAAGCTTATGTGACTTTCCCAGGGTCACACAGCAGTGCAGTGGTTAGAGCACTGGCCCTAGAGTCAAGAGGACTTGAGTTCACATCCAGCTTCAGACACTTACTAGCTGTATGACCTTAAGCAAATCCCTTAACCCTCTTTGCCTCAGTAAAATGAACTGGAGAAAAAATATGACAAACCCCTCCAGTATCTTTGCCAAGAAAACCCCAAATGGGGTCATAAAGAGTTGGACATGACTGAAAAATGACTGATCTATAACCATTGCACTGATGGGAAGATCAAAGTCCAAACCCTCTTAACCCTTCAAAACTTGCGAGGTCTTCTTCCAACCAAAAAGGGAAGAAATCTAGGCTGACCACTCTCCTCCCCTACAATTACTTCTCAGGGACAGTTTCCTTTCCTCTTAGTGATTTCAACTAGCTTGATGGTCTTATATGGGGCCCAGAGAACATCACCAAGTCCCTCAGGCAATCTGAACACCTTGAGTGTTCCTATCTCATGAACAATTGAGAGTCATTCTTATATAATAAGTGTATCAGGGCTAAGCAAGGAGGGGGTGATTTAGACCTTTCTATTGCCCAAAAAGCACAACCATGCTGAGCATGAGAAGACAGAAAATTTATGGGGAATTGTGATCAAAACATTAATTTTAGAGCAGCTAGGTAGTGCAATGGATAGAGGGGTGGACCTGGAGTTAGGAAGACCTAAGTTGATATGCAGCCTCAGGTATAGGCTAGCTGTGTGACTTTGGACATCATTTAACCAGTGTCTGCCTCAGTTTCCTCATCTGTAAAAGTTGAGATAATAATAGCACTTATCTCCCAGGGCTGTTGTGAGAATCAAATACACTTCATAAACCTTGAAGCATGACATAAATGCTAGCTGTTATATCATCATCATCATTAATTTTGTATATGTTAGTAATTTATTAAATTATTTTATGTATATAGATAGAATGAGCTGCCTAGAGGCCGTAAGATCATATGGGTTTAGGACTTAAACAGGCATTCAAGGCTATCTAGGATATATATGCCTATATATGCATACACACACACACACACACACACATATATACACACACATACACACCTAATACTATGTACCAATGAGGAAAACTGACGCCTAGAGAGTTAAATACTGAATATCTGAGGCAAGATTCCAACACAAGTCCTGCACCAGGCTGTCATGCAGCAACCTCCAAACTTTACAGATGAGGAAACTGAGGCCTAAGGAACCAGCGTGGTGCCACAGTGCTTGGACTAGGATAGTTCAGTCTCCAGGGCTCTGAGTTCCCTAACATTCTGTCCTAAGATGCTAGAAAGGGCCATTAAGATCCAGAAAGCTACACCTCAAAATTCTAGGGGAGCACAACTCTAGGTGGTGGTGTCAATCAAAAGAACCAGGGGTGTCTGGATGAGAAAATTCTGGGCAGCTACCCTGCCCAAAAGTTCACCAGAAGCCTTAGTCTGTTCCTTGGCACTAAGCTTTAAGTCAGGAACTAAAGCTAGAGAGATGATTTAAAAAAAACAGACTTGTATCAATTATTGCAAATCTAAAGATTTCTGAGAAAGAATTACAATTGCAAGCAGAGACTGAAAGGGGAAAAATAGATTTCCCATTTACGATTTCTTCAAATATAGTATCCAAGCTTTCTTTTGTTTTTAAGTCTTGTTCATGGAATCCAGTATTCTTAAAATTCTCTTTCCCTGATCTGTTTCCCAGGTCAATTGTTTTTGACATAGGAAATGTTCCATATCTTCTATTTTTTCAATCCTCGGATTTTATTCCAATATTTCTCACTCCCTCATAGAGTCATTAATTTTAGTTTGCTCCATTCTAGTTTTCAGGGAGTCTGTTGTTTCAGTAAGATTTATCACTTTCTCATCTAAGCTACCTATTCTGCTTCCATTTTTTTTCCTCCACAGCTTTTATTTCATTTTTTTTTATCTTTTGCTTCATTTCTTCTGGGTATTCATGTATTCTTGTTTTGTTTTTGTGAAAGGTGTGTTGTAAGTCTTAAAGCGCCATATAAATGTGAATTTTTGTTACTATTAATAGTAATAATAATAACTGTATAATATTAACAAAACATAGAATTTACAACCCTAAGTCATCTGTGAAAAGATCAGTACTTCTCTGCCAAAAAGGAAGAAAAAGATTGATAGATATTACCAAGGAACATGACAAACAGGTCAAAATTCTTCTGAAATATTTTTGAAATAAAAGTTACCATTACATCAAGCAGTAATAAAAGATGCTCCCAGATAGCTGGCTTCAGATTTGTCAAAACCTCTGGTTAGAGCCAGAAATGTGTAAGATCTAGGAGTAGAATAAAATGTCTTCTGTGGACAAAGTCTGCATGAACATTGCCAAGACCAAAGAAATGGCTTAGTCATGTAGATTGGTAGAAATGAAAGGTTTTATGATAGAATTCAAGAAAAGTCATTGCTATCAGAAATTGCAGAAGGGTTCTCACTGATGCCTCTACTTCCTTTTCTCCCATTGATTTCTTTTTTTAAAATTAATTTATTTTGAATTCTCAACTATCACTTCCATAAGCTTTTGAGTTTTAAATTTCTCTCTCTCTCCCTATCCACCTCCCTCCCCAAGAAGGCACACAATCTGATATAGGCTTTACATATACATTCTTATTAAACACATTTTCATATTAGTGATATTGTAAGTAAGAATTAGAACCAATAGGAGGAACCACCAGAAAGAGGAAACAAAATACAACAGAAGAAAAAAAAAGCAAATAATATGCCTCGATCTACATTCAAACTCCATAGTTCTTTCTTTGGATGTAGGTAGCATTTTCCATCATGAGGCCTTTGGAGATGTCTTAGATGCTTGTACTGCTGAGAAGGGTTAAGTCTATATTAGTCATTGCACAACATGGTTGTTACTGTGTATAACATTCTCCTGGTTCTGCTCACTTCACTCAGCATCAGACCATACAAGTCTTTCCAGGATTTTCTGAAGTCTGCCTGTTCATCATTTCTTATAGCACAATAGTATTCCATTACATTCATATATCACATTCACAGTTATGATTACTATCTGTGTCTTTCTTTCCATCTTCCCCCCTCCCTGTTTATGTTTTTCTTTCTCCTCTCTCCTCTTCCCTCTTCACTAGTGTTTGACTTTTGACTACCGCCTCCCTTGGTCTTGTCTCTCTTCTATTAGCCCCGTCCCTTTTCTTCCCCTTTACCCTTACTACTTCTTCCCTCCCTTCTGTCCTCCCTCCCTTTTCTTTCCCCTTTTCCCTCCTACTGCCTATAGGACAAGTTAGATTTCTATACCTAACTGATTACGTTATTCCCTTCTTGAACCAAATCTGAAGAGGGTAAGGTTCAAACAATGCTCCTCTCCCTCCTTTTTTCCCTCTGCTGTAATAGGTTTTTGTGCCTTTTCCTGTAATGTAACTTACCCTTGTCTGTCTCCTCCTTTCCTTTTCTCTCAGTACATTTTCTTAGTTAGATTAGATTAATCCTCTTACTTGGATCCATTTAATCTACTTGAATAGATTTTTTTTATCATTATATCAAAGTCAATTTATACCCATACCTTTTATGTATACCCGTTTAACATGATGTAATAACAATACAGTTCTCAAGAGTTATAAGTGTCATCTTCCCTTGTAGGGATGTAAACAGTTTGCCCTTATTAATAACATGTTTCTTTCTGTCTCATTTACCTTTTTATGTCTCTCTTGAGTCTTGTATTTGAAGATCAAATTTTCTGTTTAGCTCTGGTCTTTTTATCAGGAAGGTTTGGAAGTCCCCTGTTTTGTTGAATGTCCGTCTCCTTACCTGAAAGATCATGCTCATTTTTGCTGTTGTTCCTTGGTTGTAATCCAAGTTCTTTTGCCTTAAGGAATATCATATTTCACACCCTATGGTCTTTTAATGTAGAAGCTGCAAAGTCCTGTGTAATCCTGACTATGTTTCCATGATATTTAAGTTGTTTCTTACTGCTGCTTGCAGTATTTTCTCTTTTACCTGGTAATTCTGGAAATTGGCTACTATATTCCTTGGCGTTTTCAATTTGGGATCTCTTTCAGGAAGTGATCTGTGTATTCTTTCTATGCCTATTTTACCCTCTGGTTCTAGGACCTCAGGGCAGTTTTCCTTTATGATTTCTTGAAAGATACTGTCCAGGCTCTTTTTTTCATCGCGATTTTCAGGTAGACTAATAATTTTTAAATGGTCTCTCCTGGATCAATTTTCCAGGTCAGTTGTTTTACCAATGAGGTATTTTATGTTTTCATCTATGTTTTCATTCTTTTGTTTTTGTTTGACTGATTCTTGCTCTCTCATAGAGTCATTAGCTTCCATTTGCCCAATTCTAATTTTTAACAAATTGTTTTCTTCTATTAGATTTTGTACCTCCTTCTCTATTTGGCCAATTGTATTTTTTAGGGATTTGTTTTCTTCAGTGCACTTTTTTCCAGTTGGCCAATTGTATTTTTTAAGGACTTGTTTTCTACAGTTAATTTTTGTCCTTCCTTTTCTAAGTTATTTATTCTCTCTTGCATACCTCTTATTTCTTTTCCCATTTTTAAATCCTTCTTGAGCTCTTCTAAGAAGACTTTTTGGACTTCAGACCAGTTCATATTCCCTTCTGAGGTTCCAGATGTGGGTTTGTTGATAATGTTGTCCTCTTCAGAATTGCTGCCTTGATCTTCACTCTTCCCATAGTAAGAATCTATCGTACCTTTCTTTTTGCTGATGGCGTTTGCTTATTTACTGGCCTTTAAAGAGATTGAGCTCTCCTGTGGGGCAGCAGAAGGCACTGACCCAAGCTTCTTGTGTTGGGAGCCTAGGGCCTGGTCACTGGCTTTATGTGCTGGGGCCCTGATGCTGGCAGTTGGAGGCTGTAGAGTTCTGGCAGCTTACCTGGTGTTGGGCTGGAATCAGCAACAGTAGAACTCTAGGGATAGGATTGGGTAGTGTGGCCCCTGGAGATTTCCTGCTCACCCAGGCCTTTCCTTTTCCTCCCTTTGCTTTCTTCAGCTCCTTTCAGACGTTGCAGGATGTTTACCTGCCTGGGGCCCCTTGGAGCATTGCTTTCCTTAGTTTTGCCGAGACACTAGGAGAGCTGATTGCTGTAGAATGCTGAGGCACCTGGTGGTTTTCCAAGCTGGTTTCCACTGGTTCCCCTGCCCTCACTGAGGCAGTTAGGGATCCAGGTGTTGGTGTTTGCCTGCTCCACCACCTGGGTTTCAGGATTTCCTCCTGGTATGCTGAGGTCGGGCTTTCTACTAGCTTGCTGGGACACCTCCAGTTCTGTACTGCTCCCCTTCCCCCAGGGTAAGAGGGGCCTTTCCCATTAATCCCTCAAGCTACCTGGGCTACTGGACTGCTACATACCATCTTTCTTCTGGTTCAGCTCTTCCAGGATTTTTCCTGGGGTGATATTTTCCAGGCTTTCAGAGGTTAATAAGGGAGGGTAAGAGCAACTTACTTTTTTAGAGACTTGCTTCTTACTCTGCCATCTTGGATCCCAGAAGCTGAAGTCTCCCATTTTTTTTTTTAACTCTCAATAGTGTGGCTTCTGACTCTGTCATTCAACTGAAACTGCTCTCTCCAAAAATCATCAATGATCTCTTAATTGCCAATCTAATGACCTTTTCTCAACCCTCAACTTTCTTAACATCTCTGAAGCCTTTGATCACTCTCTCCTATGACACAACTCTCTCCTAGTTCTCCTCTACCCTATCTGATTGCTCCTCCTTAGTCTCTTTTGCTGGGTATTCATCCATGTCAAGCCTGCTCACAATCAAGTGTTCCGCAGGATTCTCTCCTTTTCTCCCTCTAAGCTATTTTGCTTGGTGACCTCATCAGTTTCCTTGGATTCAATTTTCATCTTTATGTTGATGGTTTTCAGATCTACTTATCCATGTCTAACATTTCTTGTAACTCAGATCCCTAACTGCCTATTAGACATCTCAGATTGGATGTCCCATAGACATCTTGGACTCAACATGTCCAAGACTGATCTCATCATTCCTCTCTCCTCCAAGTTCCTTCTTCTTCTAAACTTTCCCATTTCTATGGGGAGCATCACCATCATCCCAGTCACCCAGGCTCAGAATCTAGGCATTATCCTTGACTTCTCTATCTGTTGGATATTAAGCACATCCATCTGTTATCAAATCCTGTAGTTTCTACCTTCATAAAATCTATTCAATAAACTCTAGTGAATTTCTCTCACTTCCAGGGTCAAATGTAAAACCTTCCACTTGGTTTTTGAAGCCTTTCACAATCTGCCATTTTCTGGCCTCTCTCCATGTATTCTATGATTGGTGACACTGTCTTCTTTGCTATTCCTTTCATGAAAATGCCATCTCCCCATTCTATGCGTTTTAGCTATTTCCCATGGCTGAAATTCTCTTCCTTCTCATATCTACCTTCTGGCTTCCCTGGGTTCCTTCAGATCTCAGCTAAAATTTCATGTTCTCCAAGAAGCCTTTGCCAATCCCCCTTAAATCTTGTGCCTTCCTTCTGCTGATTATCTCCAATTTATCCTGCCTATAGCTTGACCAGACATAGTTGTTAGTATGTTGTCTCCTCCATTAGACTGTGAGCTTCTTGAGAGAAGGAACTGTCATTTGCCTTTCTTTGTATTCTCAGCACTTGGTACAGTGCCTGGCACATAGCAGGTGCTTAATTGAGTAGACAACCTGGCAATAGATTCTCTGTATCTCTCACTTAAGGGTAGCCTATCTAGGTTTAGAAAAGCTCATTATTAGAGGTGGCAGAGTGGTGGATTTTTCAGTCAAAGCAACTCTTGAAGACCATCTTTTAAGGCATGAAAGGGTCATAAACTGCTTGGTGGCAGACATTCCCTCACAGATGAATAATGCATTGTGGAAGTAATGAAATAACCAATTTACAAGAGCTTATTGAACATCTACTAAATGTCTAGTATTAGACTAAATACTATAAGTGACATTGAATATCAACAAAAGATGTCAGATATTACATGATAACAGATCTAGAACCAGAAGGGACCTTCTTGTTGAGCTGAAATAATGTTAAATTTTTAACAATAACATTTCCTATAGTCCGCATTAATTTAAAAAGTTCGATGTTTTTGAAAGAAAGGAGTCTTAGAAAATACAAAATAAGGCCTTTTGTCAAAAAAAAGTTCATAAATTGTGCCATCTGTAATAACTTGTTACTGGAATAATCTGGTACCATTTTGAATACTTTATTTCTCTCTCTCCTCGCCACTCCAACTCAGAAATTTCAGCAAATTACAGACATGGATTACCCAGAAAGGCTCCAAGATAGACAACAAGGTAAGCACAGGATGGGGAAGAGTTCTCATTTCACTACAAATAACCTGTATGATGGTGTTTTTGCAATTCTTTGCTGCTATAAGAAGGGCTACTATAATTTTTTTTCTTATGTGTCACTTTCCTTTTTCTTCCTCTTGGAGTACAGACCTAGTAGCAGTATTGTTGGGTCAAATTCCACACACAGTTTTATAGTTTTTTGGGTATAGTTCCAAATTGTTTTCCAGAATAGATAAACCATTTTCCACAGCTCCATCAACAATGCATTAGTGTACCTGTTTTCCCTTATCTTCTTCAGCATTTGTCATTTTCCTTTTCTATCACGTTAGCCAATCTGATGAGTATACTTCAGTAATCTCTTTTTTTTTTCAAGGTTTCTGCCACAAGTAGTTACTGTACATAGTAGTTTTTAAATAAGTGTTTGTTATTTAACTTGACTGACAAAATGCTTCTCTCAGCAGTGCTCTCTTGCTCCCTTTTGATGATAAATCATTAAAAATGCCTTCTATAAGAGTGCCTTCTACTCTTTCTCTATTCACCATCATGCCTAGTACAGATTTGACCATCTCATTGATTGCTTAATGAATGTCTTATGAGTGGAATTGAATTGTAATGAAATAGCATACACTCTCTTGTTATACTGATGGCCTGGTGGAGGTCAGAGGGAATGACTATTAATGGGTCACTTTTGTGCCAACAGAACCAGATGACAAGAGCCAGGAGCAGGGGAGAGAGCCAGAACTGGCCTCTGGATCCTCAGAACTGAGAATTCTCCTCTTGGGGAAACATGGTGCAGGGAAGAGTGCAACAGGAAACAGCATCCTGGGGAAGCGAGTGTTTGAGTCCAAGTTCAATGACTTTCCAGTGACCAAAACTTGCAAGAAAGAAAGTGGAACTGTGGGGAAGAGGGAAGTTGTGATCATTGATACTCCTGATCTTTTCTCTCCAAGGATCTCTACTGAAGAGAGGGAACAAGAGATCAGGCACTGCATCACCCTCTGTTCCCCTGGCCCCCACATCCTGCTCTTGGTGACCCCTCTTGGCCATCACACAGTGGAAGATAAAGAGATAGTGAAGGGCATTCAGGAGTTCTTTGGAGCTGAAGCCAGGAGGCACATGTTACTTCTCTTCACAAGGAAAGAAGATCTGGGAGATGAGTTACTTCCAGTGTATGTTGAAGAAACTGATAATGAGTACCTGAAGGAGCTGGTTCAGGACTGTGGGAATCGGTACTGTGCTTTCAACAACAAAGTAGATGGGGAAGAACAGAATTCTCAGGTTCAGGTGCTCCTTAAGCACATTGAATTGCTGATGAAGGAGAAAGGTGGCCAGTGCTATGCTGAATTTA